CCCCCCCCCCAGTTTTATTGTACATATTCACTTCTCCTTCTGGGATGATTAAGTTATACTTTTTTTTTAACTAATGAAGGGAGAACACATGCCTTGATATGACTGGCCAATATTGAATGTGTACTTTAAATCTTGTAACCTGCAAATTCAAGTAACATTTGGCTTTCTTTTCTATTCAACTCAAAATGACATAATTGCTAGTTTTGAAATTTAAATTTCTTTCAAGGTGGGACTTGCATCTACTCATTCTCTTTTCTTCCAAACCCTCCCTCACCTTTTCCCCACCTCCCCCACATTAGCTCTGCTTAATGGAAACTAATAAATGCTGCTATCCTTCCATTGATTTGAGAATAAACCTAAGCCAACAGGTCCGTGTAAATATCTTCTGTAGTATCATTGATATTTGATTGAGCTCAGCACAGCATCTAATTAGGCAGCTGAAGATCTGGCTCAAACTCCCAGTCTTTTGCTCGGCTCTTGTCTGAATTCTTCTTTCCCCCTCCCCTCCCTCTGCTTTTATTTTCCAGGTTCAGGCGCTCTCTTCAGCCAGTAAATTTGAAGCAGAGATAAAAGCAGAGCAGGATGAGCGAAAGCGGGAAGAGGAGGAGAGGAAACACCGTCGAGCAGCATTCAAAGAGTTAAAGTCTGCGTTCACCCAGTAACTAACCATCCATTCCACCACTGGAGATTGCACATAATTTGGTACGTGTCCACAAATTACACCTTTTGCCTGGAGAGAACCACCTGGAGACAGCATAAAACTTGTTAGTTTCACCTTCCCTTCTCACTTGAAGCTTCTGTCAGATTTCAAACGACACGGCTCTTGACTACCATATGTTCATAATAATGTGAATAATAAGAGCTATGTATATATCCTTCATTCTGAACTGTCAAGTAGCACTTGAGGGAATTAAAACTAATCTTAATGCAAGAGCACCAAGTAGCAAATCATGGGTGAAGATGGACTAACATAATATCTTCCTTTAGTTCATAAACAACAACACTGTCTCTTGGCTCCTCTTTCTTTAACTTCTAAAAGTCTTTACTCTAACTCCCTATTAATATTATGTCTTGTTTACAGGCCATTAGAAAAGTCTCAAGTAAATCAGGATGTATAAAGTATAGATTAATTTCCTGTATGTTTCTGCTAATGTTGGGTGTCAGGCATTGTCACACATCCTTTACTTTTATTCTTTTCTCCTGCAAAGTCTCAAGACGGGCTTTGTGGGAGCTCTGTGAAGAGGGATGTGTATAAAATGAATTGTAAGTCTAATACTTTCTGCTGCCCAACAGCATATACTGAGGCTTCTAGCTTTTAGTATATGAAATACCCTAATAACTCTGTAGTAAGAAGCTGGACTTCCTCATAGATCAGGTAACCATAGCCTTTGGCAGGAGGAAAATGGCAACACCTTAAGTAATAGAAAGTTGAGGGTCTGTTTTTTGTTTTGTTTTTTGACCATACATCTTCTGTCACATTCCTTTTGTACTCATCTACTCCATGGCCTCACTAGAGGTCTTCCAGCTCTGGAACTCTTAAGAAGTAAGGAGATATATTTGTCTCTAAGAAATTGTCATCTCAGCAATACAGATGGATGGTGCCACTAGTCCTTCACTTCTAGAAATCTGCTTCAGTTCTAAAGTCATAAACAAATTCATATAGTCACTACTATATAAAACCACTCTGGCACACTAAACAATTTCTGCTCAGGAAGGGAATAACTGATAGGTTTCAAGTCAAGACAGAAGTGTATTGGACAGAGTTGAGTCTAGAAAACTCGCATTATTCTTGACTCTAGCTGGTGGTGTATTTCATAAGTACAGGAAAGGCATCCATAAATTTAAGAACACCATGAGCTTTTTTATATATACTGAAGGCCATCAAGAAAGGGAAAGTTCTTCCTCTCAGCTCTTGCCCCAGTCTGTCTTCCTTCCAGAACAGCGCATACCAGATTGCTGCTCTGTATCTTCACCTGCCTATTTTGCTTCTTAAACTGTGAGCACTAAACTGTGAGCATGGAATAATAAATAGAAAAATATCTGATCTTTAATGTTGGGTGGGAGAACTGCTAAACAATTAAACTGTGTATATATCTCCACAGATTATATTTTATAAATCACGCTTTTTTAGCTAAATATTTATAATGTTTTTATACTTTAAAACAAAACAGATAACTGCATCTTTGATTATTTCTGCTGTTGCTAAAATGTATAAATAAAGCCTTCTTTATCCACAGTCTTGTCAGTGGCTCTTCTTAGGTCCTCAAACATACCATTTTATTCAAGAATTGCCAGCACTGATCCTGTAAGTCTCAAATGTCTGCACACTGCACAACTCCAGTTATGAGGAACAGATAAATCTACCTCAAACTTATAATGTTTCCACTACAGCATAACTTCCTAGCTATGCAAAAGCTAAAGCTTTTCATCCAGAAAGGCCTGGTGTTGTATAAAGGTATTAAATACTGCCCATTTAAGAGGGGTAAAAAGTTCAATTTCCCCTCTACCATGGTGTCCTATTCCTTGAGGATTCTATATTGGTAAAGGAACTGAGGGGTGGTTGGGCCCATAGCCTTTATGCCCTCAGATGGAAGGACAGAAGCACAAGACACTGGTGGCAAAAAAAAGGGCAGGGAGGAAGCAAACAGCCACTCATGTATGGAGTGCATGTGCACCAACCAGTGAAGTCCAAGTGGATATAATGAAGCTGAACCTAGATATGAGGTATGTGATCTGATTTTTTTTGTTCTCTGAGACTGTCAGGTACAGCAGGTAAGGTGGCTTTGGTGGCTGCATTGATGGTTCACCAGATCCCAATACCACAACTGCCTGGACCATGCAGTGTGACCCTCTTAGTCATTAACCCTGTCTCTTGCCTTGGTTTCCTCAAAAGTCTTGGTATTATAGAGGTTGAAAGTAAGATGTATATTGCTCTGTGGCCAGGGGATGAAAAGCATCTGACAGGGAGCCAGGACTGGAACCTTCTCTGGAATAAAATACTTGGCATTTCTTACTCTGGTCTGTGGAAAATGTTTATCGATGGATGCAACTCTGCTTGTAAGAGAGACTCTGCAGTACTGGGTTTTTGACTGACCATGTGTGGCTGTCTGAGAACTGTCAAATTAAACAATCTGTTAATAAGTTTTAAAAGCATGGCAAATGTAGGGCCCGAGATGTATTTGTCACTGTATTGCACCAAATACACTGGACTTTAGACAAAATTAAATTACTTGGTTCCACTGCTGACATGACACACACACCTGTGGTAGTATCTGCCAGAAGCTGAAGTTTTAAATCTTTGTATAGAAGCAGAAATACTTTATATGTCAGGCACATGGCTCTGCATTATGGGATATTTTTAAGAAGCTCATCTACACATGAGGGATTTGGTTCCCCAATCTGAGGTTGATACAGATGTGCCATTCAGGATTGCTAGCCCAAGAAACTTGGGCTTTTTGTCTGTCTGTTGTTTTATTGACAACCAAACTTTCTTTTACTGACACTTTTTTTTTTTAATACTGGTATGTTTTTATGTAATGTAAATGTAATTATTGAGCTGAGCCCTGCCCTGCTGCCATGCACCAGTTAGAAAGACTGGGTTCAAATTTAGGGGGTTTAACACCAAACATAGTAAAAATAAATGAATAAATAAATAATTGTCAATAAAAAGTTTCAGGAAAAATGTTTTAATATGTATAAAATATATATACTTCTACATGTATAAAACACTTTTATATATAAATATCCTTGGGTTGGCACCACTGCTCAACCACAGCAATGGTTTTGCACCATGGTGCTTCCAATCCAGGGGTTGTCTGCTTGCTCTCATACCTCACTGTTCCCCACTGCATTCTACACCGTGCTTCTCCCCCCAGCCTTACCCCATCCCAACACGGGTGCCCATCTACAACCCACAGTACTGCAGGATCGGACACAGTAGCAGCAACAACAGCATGTGGCTAGTGGGGCAGGGGTCTGCAAAGCCCCGAGAAGAGTGCTGTACTCCTGCTTGGACACCAGCTGGCAGTGCTCCGTTCTGCTCTGTTAGAAAACAGCCAGAGCTTGATTGAAAGACTATCAAGCAGACTGACAGCTTTGTGTTTTTATGGACTTGTGGGGAGCCCTGTGGGCTGGAAGTTGAGCACCACTGGTCTGGGTCTTTACCCAGGAAGCTGGTTTTACATGGTATCAAGAACTTGGAGGAACTTCCAAAGAATGATTTCCCTTCTGCCACCTTGGCAATTAACTCAGTGACTGAAAATAAACCCTTCTGTGTTTCTGGCCTGCTGGGAACGTTATGTGCTATCAATCACAGGTGAACAAGTACTTTTTACTATAATCAAAACAAAGGCTGGTGAGATGTATTTACTGCTGCATCTTAAACACTGATATTTTATGATACTTATTTTCCTTTTCAAAGGCTATGTAGTTCCTAGCTGTACACATATTGTAAAGTAAGATATATCTTGCTTCTATCAAGCTAGGACACGGTGAAAAGGACTGGTCAATAAAGGTGCTTTTAGTTAATTAAAGGTCCTTTACCTCACTCTCCCAGTTTTGCAATCAAATTGATTTAGTGTTCCAAAGGATTTCTACCCACATAATGACCTACAGTAACCAGTAGTAGTCTTTATAGTTACACCATGGATGAGTTTAGCCACATAGGCAGAAGGCAGGGTAGATCTGCACCTTAGACTAAATAAATCATAGATGCAAAAGCTTTTGTAAGCAGTGGCTTACTCCATCAGATACTATAAAGGGACTCCAGGAAGCGAAGCTTCAAATGGAAAGCAGTGATTAGAATACAAAGGTCAGGAACCAGGAGGAAAAAAGGAGGGGGCACTGCTGGCAGATGCAAGGTGAATAGAAGAGAGGAAAACAAAGTGGTTAAACCATTGAGGGACATAGGTGTTCTAAAAGCTGAACAAGATAATGGGATAAGAATCCATAGTCTTGATTTGAACCATATTTAACACAACCTGCTCTGTAGATGATTTCTGCAATTTCCAGTTCAAGCTAGTTTTTAAAGTTGTGGTGTCTAAGAACAGTTGCTCTGAGGTCAGCAATGGATTAAACAGTCATGTTTTGTGTCTTTCATTGTTTGTGGTTGACCATAATGGAAGCCTTGGAACAAATCTACCAAGATACAAAGGTTCTGTTTGAATTTCCTTATAATATTATGAAAAGATACTTCTGCAAAGAAAATAAGTTTAAAACATCCCTTGAAAATGTATTTGGGCTTCTCTAACCAAAAAAAAAAAGGGTCCAACTCTAAATTTCTCCCAGATGAGTCACAGGCCACTTCTGAACCCTCAGAATAAAATACCATGAGTTATTTACATCATCTAACTGATCTGTCAAGAAAATGCATTGGGACAATGTTCTTTAGTAAACTTGCAAGTTCCTGTTCTGAGATGTGGGGTGCCTCCCTCCCTCCATGATCTCTTTTTCATGCTGCTCTAACCACTATCAAGAAGCTAGGAAAACTGAAATCCAAGTAGTCACAGGCCAGAAATTTACAGCTTTGTTACAGCTAGGCTTTCTCTTGCCACCCTCCGAGGGAGGAGCTTTGTTTTAAGATTCTTGTTGGAATGTGATTAGCCTTATCATTTTGCTGTGAACTCAAAACACTTTCAAGGACCAATAGCCTTTTTAGCTCATTGGCTCAGAAAATTGTGCATGTTCACTGTTGTGTCATCTAGGGCCAGCATTCAGTGTGCAGTATCAGGTATTTACCAGCCTCCAAGATCTGAAATAAAAACCAAATGTGTTTAGGCCAGAACTCTTGATTAAAGAATGTTTTTTCCAGCTGCAAATGGTAATCCCTTTGATGTTGCATAATAGCTAAAAATAGGTTTTATGACTAAAATAGCCAGCATCAAGCACTAATATGGTTTTTAAGACTATAAATAAACAACTATTTTTAGCTGGGAAAGCCCTGCCCTATACTCCTACTGACCCAAAAGCAGATAACATTTGGGATCTGCAAGAATACTTATGGGTGATATCTTTTATTAGACCAACAGTATGGTTTGTATACACCAAGGCAAGCTTTTGGGTGTGTCAGTACCCTTTCTCAGGCCTCTGAGCTAGAAGCAGACACAGCTGAGCTAAAAAGCAGATGGAACAAAAAGTAGGCTCATTGTTACTTATGAACTGCAGGGGTTAGGGCAACCGAGTGTCTTGAGATCCTTTCAAGGGTACTATGGGGTGCAACATGATGTTAGTACTGTTAGCTGTGCAAACATGGCTCACAAATAGGAATCTATAGCATTAAGGACATTCTCATCCAATGTGGTCTTTCCGGGTGCTTTGCAACAGAAAAACTGCTCTATTATTTTTCTGTAGTAAAAAATGAGTGAAAAGTTAAGTGTTCACATTTTTTGAGGGAGGCTTTGAATCAAATGAAGGGTGCCTTAAGTGCAGAAAGGTTGAGAGTTGGGGAGTATCAGGACAGTTATGATGGACCACAGAGTCATTGGGATCTGGTTACAGACCATCAATTTGTTGTGCTTTAAACCCTGTACACCAAGGCCTTCCAGTCCCAGCCTGTCTTCACGGCCCTCAGTGCCCTGACAGCACCAGCAGGCCTGGCGGTGGGTGGCCACAGGACTGTTGCTCTCTTGTACATGGCAGGTGAGGCCGGCCCACGTTTTAACGCAGCGCGGTCCTGCCAGAGCCAGGTCATAGCTGTGACAGTCCAGGAGACATGACAGCCCAGGCGAGGCGTTTTTGGGGGCGATCTCTTTCACAGACCAGCTGGGCAGTTCAGATGCAGTTAGCGCGTTTCCGAAGGACCCTGCGCATCGGAGACTCGCGGGCTCTGTCCCAGCCATGAAGCTGGCCCCGTAAGAGCAAGGCGTAATTAATGCCCAGCTCTACCATAGCCGGTCGGCTCTCCAGCCACCTGGAGGGCTGGTTTTGATGGGGTGACTTGGCACGTCGCCGGTGTGTGAGGCGATTCCCCAGACTGCTGCGCCATACAGGTGCTGCAGGGCTGCAGCGGGGACAGGCGGGTTGCTGCCCGCGCAAGCGGCCGGGCAGGCGCGTGGGTCCCCGCACAGCAGCACCAGCGCGTGACGCCAGCAGCATCGGGTCGCTCCCCGGGAGGCGGGGGGTACTGGGGCGCATGCGTGCGTCCATCCGGGCCCGTGGGGGGGCGGGGCTCTCGGTCACGTGACTCTGCGTGGCGGCGCGACCGCCATCTTGTGTTGTTGGGACTGAGGCTTCGCTTCG